TCTTGATTTGACTAAGTGTTGGATTGTTAGGTGATGGAAAAACTTCATAATCCTCTTTAACAACCTCTCAAAGACCACTTAGCATCCAATTAGGCCTCCATTCTCACTATCCAAGCTTGATAATTTTCACCATCAAAAATAGGTGGAGCTTCAGCTGTGAATGATGGGTCTAAATCGATTTGTTGATTGATTTCAATAAGGTATTTAGTTTTTTTTTTTTTTTTTGCTGGAAGGTTCACTCGATGGATCATACATCCTATGAAGGTGCGGAATAAATAAAAATTTTCCTCCATCTAAAGACCCAAGATCATGCCGTTGAATCAACTAATTATACATACATGAATAACAAGATAAAAGTAAAGGATTACCTCTTGTAGTGTAGATTTCTTTTTCTTTGATTAGTCGTTCAAGTGTCCAACCTCTATTGATGATCCACGCGACTCAAATATCCACAAAGAAGCACTCAAAATTGATGGTGTGTTAGCTCCACCTTTTCCGATTAAGTTTTTTCACTCGAAATCAATCCTGGATAACTTTGTGATAACCTTATTCAAAGAGGAAAGAGTATGGCTTGCTAGGGTTTAGGAGAAAACTATTTTCTCTCTTTTTCTCTCTTGACCAGTGTGCCCTAGCTTGGTATTAGGACTAGTAGAATTTTGCTATATATTTTTCTAGCTTGGTCGAATCTCAATGTATGCATTGACCCTTTTTTTACCGCACCTCTCATTCTATTTATAGGGGAGAGTTTCTTTGTCCTCCAAGGACAATGAAATGGGTGGCCTAAGTCCCTAATTAGGACTCTACATTATTACATCCTTATCCTTCAAGGTTAATGAGTTATTTTATATGTGGACTACTTAATGTTTATCTTTAAGACATTCATTCTTATCCAATAAGGTTAATGTTTATCCTCCCACTAAAATTATCTTAAGGCTTTTAATTAAACCTAATGGACCAAAACTATTTTAGCCCAATTAATTCATTTGGACTATCCAAATAAATATTCTTAGATTATTTTGACGGGATCCACATTAGGGAATAATTTCTCAAAATATGCTTTAACCTAAATTAGGAAACTCCTTTCCTTTTTAGGTTCTTTATTTTCAAATTTGAAACTAACTTCCAAATTAGGAAATCGATTTCAAAAATAGAAAATTTTCATTTTAGGAAACTTTCCATTTTGAAAATTTTCCATTTTTCATTTTGGAAACTCTTTCCAAAATAGGAAACTTTCATACTTGAAAACTTTTTTTAATATCTTTGCTTCACATTTGTGATGTGAATACTTGAACTTATCACGTGTGACTCAATAGGCTCCTAGATATGTTGGCAATGTATCAAGAATAAAAGACTCCTCTTTCATCTCTTGATACATAAATCAAGATTGGCTTCTAGCAAGGCATCATGACTATCCAATTCTCTAGGAGGATTAGTTAATCCATTATTACCTTTCACCGAGCATGGTTACCATGCAATTCGATCTTCATGTCAACTTATCATATTGTGATCTCAAACTTAGTTATTAGTCTTGTTTAATTATGATCACACAATTTTTCTTTGATTCCCAAATGTCTTAACTCTTAGAGTAAACCAACTATGCTCTATTGGTATACTCCTACTATGGTCATAGATTTCTTGAGCGAGATATTTATCGAAGTGCAATGTGACAACTCCTTTAGCATACAAGAAATGACATGTCCTATCTTAGCCATACACTTATCTTCACTTGGATTCCTAGTGCACCTAACGAATCGCCCACATGCAACTTATTAATGGGTCTATCGAAATGAGTGTCAAAGTGCATAAGTCCTCCAATGAGATAATCGTGATAACTTCAAGTCTAAGGACCATTTGTGCCCATCTCATATGAGATTCCCATAGACTTAAACCAAATGGGTTCTCATGGCGAGTCAAATCCGGTGATATGTTCTCTAACACAAATCACCTAAGTGTTTGCTTTGGCATCACCATGCCAATAGATGTGAGATCTCCTACTGCTATCATATAGCATGAGCATAGCACTTACAAGTCTATCCCCATATTGTCAATGTCCATTCTTGACGATGCTACAACTTGGTACATTTAATGATATCATTTATGTGCATTAATGTTTGTCTCGCATCTTTCGATCAATCACTATTGCAAATGTATATCACAAAGATTTCTATCTAATTCTACTCGAATTTATCAACATATAAACATAAGAATTAATAGAATGACTTCTTAATTGTTATTAAAATAAATGATGCAATAATATATTAACATAAGCCCATCCAAACATGGTTGGATCTTGGCCACCAATACTAACACACTCAAATTTACTCATAAGTCTTTTAAGAAGAAGGCTCTAATACCAATTATAGGATTTTACTCACAAAGGGAGCAAAAGAAGATGAAGGCTATAAACCAAGTAAGTCGATAAAACAAAGCTTTTAGAGCTCAAAAAAATTGGTTGTTAAGCGATATATTTTCATTAAATCAAAATGTGCTTAAATACAAAAAAAAAATGTAATTGAAAAAAGCAATAAAAACTAACCATAATTACATGATCTAACCCATAAACAAAACATGATGACATGATGTAGAACATGATCTAAGCCATGAACAACTACTTTTTAGCAACTAAAGAACATGCATAATAAAAACCATAAGAATAGGTCAAAGCTTTAAAATGCAACATGTGCGACCACTTAAGGCTAAGCTTGCCTAATCAAAACTTTTGTACGATTAGTAGCGGCTGAGGCATATTTGCAACAAAAAGTCCGAGTTTTCAATCTATTCCTACGTTTTTAATTGCATTTATTATGTCTTTAAATATTATGTTAGTCTTCAATTTGTTTTTCCCATTAATTATTCCGACACTAAACAATTTTTCTCTTTTTTACCAAAATGCCTCTAACTAAAAAGAAGAAGAAAAAAAACTAACTCAAAGTCTCATTAAGTACATATTTTATTTTCAAAGTTTTGTTTTTAAATTATTTTCCAATCAATATATATTCTTGATTTCATAATTTTATTAAGAAAAATGAATTAATTAAAAAGTAATAAGAATTCAAATAATACATCATTCAACTCTTATACTATCATAAACTTTTGGATTTTTGGATTTGAGAGATAGTTTTCTTGATTTTTTGCTATTAAATCTTACTAAAAAATATTTAATATGCATTTTAAATTAAAGCTTATGATGTGAACTTTCGATTGATTTAAATAAAAAAAATATTAAAAATAAACTTATCCTAAGAATTTGTGATTCAATTTTTTTAGTTAAAAAATTTTCTCATATTTTTTCCTTCTTCAACTCGGCACCAACATTTAATTTTTCTTGTTTTTATCATCATATGTAGCAAGAGGAACCTATATAAAAAAATATTAATTAATATTCAAATCTATTAACACGCGAACAATCCAAACACCCTTTTCTTGGAGGTTTGAAGTCGAGATCTATTGGACAAAAATGTATAACGACAGAGATATTTTTCATTGCTCATTCCTCTTGTATTATAGTTTATTTCAATTTGAGAAATATGTAATGGGTTTTAACTCCACTGCTTTGGGTGCGCCTATGTCTAGTGGGCATCAAAAGCCCTTTTTATTCTCTTTTAAAGAATACTGACGTGTCTTCTCGTATTGCTTTCAGTTAAGTTATAAATTAGTCCCTTTCGTTTCAAAAAAATAAATTAATTATTTTTTAAAAAAATTAATTATTAAATTTTTTATATTTTAATTTTATCAATAACTTAATTATTTTATTAATTTTTTTTAAATTGTTTTTTTTAATACCTTATTTTTTTCTCACCTACTTTCTTTCTCTCTCTTCTTACTTAAAAAAAAAAAAATTTAAAAATTACTAATCTAATATAAAAAAATGATGAAAAAACTAAGTTATTGACAGAATTAAAATGTAAAAGATTAAATTATTAGTTTCTAAAATAAAGGAGACTAATTAATTTATTTCTCTAAACCAGAGGGACTAATTTTTAATTGATTCCCTATTTGCATAATAAAAAAATAAATAAATAAACAGAAGCACTCCCTCTATCTTTATCATAAAACATAATGAAAATTACTTTCATGTTACCACTGTATATAGACAAATAGATAATGCAAATCAGTACTTCTATTTTCTTTTGTTTACGTTCTTTTAATTACTTTTGATTTATTACTGTTTTTGTAGCCCTTAGGGTCTTTTGTCCGGGCTTACTCACACATCTGACATTCACGACAGCACATCTGACATTCACGACAGTGATGTCTTATCCCCTCTAGATTTATTATTTTTCTTCTTTATAAAAAGTGTTTTTCTTCCTTTTTTTTTTTTTCAAAAAAAAAATCTTAGGATGCATTTGTTCATTTTGCAGAGAATATTGTCCAGAATTAGCGTGTATTTAACCAGATAAAGCAGGAAGGGAAGATTGCCATACTTCCATGAGTGTGCTGATATGCTAGCTAAGAGTACTGTCCTGTACTTGTTATTCAACTGCCCGAGTTTTTATCTACCTGCCAACAAACTCAAATCTTATCAATGACAACCCGTGAATGGACCAATTCACCTTCTTTTGTGCGTCATGTCATCTTAGATTGAAAAGCTTATTACTTTTATATTGCCACCTTAAACGGGGAAAAAACCAGCCTTAAACCACCACAAATAGACCAAAATGTGACTTGGGCACATCATAATGATATCGGTATCAATCCAAAAAGCCTAATAGGCTAATATGTTTCCAACCAAAGCAAACAATAAGCGAAAGACTACTACCACCACTAATAATGCTCTCATTGCTTTCATAAATAATCAACTACTACCAAGGGATAAAGCAGCTGCAGCTCCACCCATAATGGGTTCACAAAAGATAATAAAGGAAGCCATAAATGCCTATGAACTACCTGCAAAGAGATACGCACACACACATGGCTGCCATAATAATACAGAGTACAAATTAAGCCTCGTTATTAAGAACTAAAACACTTAAAGCAACACTCCACCCAGCTGATAATATCTACTTTGGAATTATTTCTTTGCTTCCCTTCATGAGTTCTTGCTTCTCTTTCAACCACAATTCTGCAAACTCGCAATTCTTCCATGCCTCAAACCATGGCCCTCCACGAGTATAATGTATTGCTTTAGGGAATGTTGTTGGGTCACCCTCCACAACGTTGTTATGCCCCTCAAGAAAATTCCATACAAATGGGATCGAACCGATTTCTTCGTCCTCAAGCCACTGAAACCTATGAAGGAAAGCACCATTATGGGTGTTCACAACCTCAGGTGTCAGAACCTTGTTCTTCGGATGCCCACAATTGTACAAAACCATGGAAGACCAATTCTTCCTCGGATACACAGTTTGCACTGCCCCATCCATTTTCGTGGCCTCTTTAGGCGTATAATCATGTTGCACACACATGATCGCATACTTGTCATCAATCAAATCTCTCAATTCCTTAATGTCAGCTAAGTAGAGGAAGTCGCAATCAACGAACATTGCCCAACCATCATAGTTAGCCAAATGGGGTGTCAAGAAACGAGTAAAAGAGAACTCTGTGCTCTCAAGCTGGCCTCTCTCGCGCCAAAACAGGCCATTGGATCTAAGTTCTGACTGCACAATTGGGTTGATCTCAACAGGGATCGAGGATCGCTTCAAAATAGAATGGCGACAAACCTCATAGGCAACATCTTCTCGTGGATCATAACCCACAAATATCTTAAAGGGCTTGTCATTTGCAACGCCTCCATTGCTCATGCCCATTCTAGCAGCTCTGAATTGTGAACCAGGACAGTAGATCTGGCGTAAACACAAAATTAGCAAACAACTCCTAAATCATAGAAAAAAAAATAACCCCAAATTAAAAAACCTTGACTTCATTCAAGAAAAAAAAAACAGTAAGGGATAGATCTCAAGAAATCAAAATATAATGGACGATTTTCAAGAAGAGAATAGATAACAGAGAAGGAACAAAACTAAAGAAAAGTAATACATTGTATCAACAAGAAGTTCGTAAAAGAAAAATAAGAGTACCTTCGAGAATGTAACGGCAGATCTTGAAGAGAAGAGAATTACGAGGGACAAAAAGAATTGATTTGGACTTTGGTTGGACGAATTGGGTTTTGAAAAAATAAAGAAAAAAACAGAATTCTTTTCTATGGAGGCAAAGAGAGAGAGAGAAGTGAGCGGTGGATATGCACAAGAGGCATGGAGGGATTGGTATTTATTGAGGGAGGGAGACAACAGAAAGTCATGTCGCTCCCTCGCTGTTTTTTGTCCTTCAACGTCAGATTTTGGAATCGATTTTAGGAACTCCAGTCAAGAAAACTGTGGGTGATAATAATGCTGTGGTAAATTTTCAATATTCAATTTTGTCCCCAAACTTATTCATTCCAAACAATTGGGTCTCAAAAAGTTTATATATTTCATATAACACAGCTATAACACGGGGACTTACAAATTTAACAACAATAAAGCTCAATTAGTTCTCCAGGAGGCTATAAGTCTGGAAGGAACATTCAAATTAATTTCTTTTTACTTTATCTATAATACAATATTAAAAAAAAAAAAAAACTTATTGATCTTCATTTTTATAATGATGATGATGTAATATTTTTTTTTCAGTTTTAATATCTTTTGGAGGATGTCAATTAATTTTTTTTTTTTTATCAAGATCGATTTATCTTTGACTAAAAAAAAATTGTAATACAACAATGTCATCTTAAAGGTAGTTTGATGTAATCTATTAACGATCATTGATAGAAGTATTTAATGGGAAACTGTTTTAAAATCAGAGAATTAGATTGAAGTTAGAGGCTAACATAAGGTAGAAATGAAAGAAAACAATATTACTGCAACATTGCTTTTTAAAATTGGTGTTTTGAACGCAGTACGTTCATTTTTTATTTTCTAGTGGGAAATTGTTGAAGAAATGAAAGTTTAATAATAAGAGTAATATAAGCTGAAGTATATGTTAATTTTAAAATATAATATATATACGATGCGTGGAAATGAAAAAAAAAGAAAGCTGAGGATTGAAAAAAAAAATCTTGCAACATGAGGGATGAAAATAAGAAAAAGTGTTAAATTTACATATTAATGTCCAAAAAAAACAAAAAAAACACACACGCACACGCACACACACAAATGACTTAAATTGTCGTCAAATAAATAATAATTTTATACATATAAAAAGTAAATGAATATGAATTTTAGGCATATGAACAGTTCGGATTCACACATTACGCTACAGGTCTAACTAAATATATTTATTTCAGTTTGATAATATATACTATATTCTCAATTAATTAAAATATATTAAATTAAATATAAAAGATAAAATTTCATCTAATTTTATTATTTTTAATCAAAATTTTGTATCTGTATATATTTTTTTATGTTTTGAATAAATTTTGAAGTCAAAAAAATATGATTTGCTCTTTCTTATGCATTTATTCTTAAATAAAAACCCATAATAAACAAATTTTAATCTAAATTTTTTTAAAAAAAATTTTAATATTTTTTTATAACATCGCATCGAAAAAATAAATCAACAATTAATATAAAAACTTATATGCAAATTAACAAATGAAGCTTTTTTACTTATGAGAATATTATTTTTTTTAAATATGTACATTTGATTTATATATATTTATTTACAAATTAATAAATAATATTAGTATAAAAAATTATATTTGAATTATTTGGCGGTTATTCTAAAATATTATTTCAATTAATTTATTTGAAAAAAATATTTTAAAATGTTAAAAAAAAATAGCAAATAGTTGGTATTGTGTGTAGATGCATAGTTGATTTCTAATAAAATTAATGACTCTAATATTATTAGTTTTTATACATCATGATCATACTTAATGAGTGAGAATGTATAGCATAAATTGAAAAATATTTTAAAAAAATTAAATTATAAAATATATATTGAAGCTAATAGAGTGCAATAAAAAATATAAAATTGATTTTGATAAAATTTGATTATATAAAGAATTAATTAAATAAAAACGAGGCATAAAAAAAAACTTATTCGAATCCATACATAGAAAAAATAAATCATATTTCTTAATAAATAAAATTATATAAAATTAAGAATAAAAATCAACTTGATATAAATTTTTATAACATACTGTAAAGATCAATTTTAAACAATAAGAGTAGTATATGTTTATTCTAAATTCTCAAAATATATCATATATATATATTATATAATCGTCAATTTATATGGAAAAAAATCACAATTAATTTTTCAAAATTTTAACATCTAGTTACATAAAAAAAAAAAAAACATAAATTGATAAAAAAAAAATCAAAGGAAAAAAGCTATAAAAAAAACATGTGTAGTGCATCGGCTAAGAGGTTAAATTTAGGAACCAAAATGAAATAACTTAAAAATTACAAAAAAAAAAAAAGAGTGAATAGTGAATGATTTAAACACCCCATCTTTTTTAGTTATATAGTAAATTGAAATGATTAATTTTAAACAATAAAAGTAGTATATATTTATTTTAAAATCTAAAAACATATTGTATATATTATATAATCATTAGTTTAGTTGACAAAAATAACAATTTTATTTTTTCAAAAATTTAACACGTAGTTAAATAAAAAAAGAACATAAATTAATGAAAAAATCAAATAAAAAAACATGTATAGTGCATTAGCTAGGAGGTTAAAAAAATTTAGGAATCAAAATGAAACAACTTGAAAATTACAAAAAAAAAAAAAAAGTAAATAGTGATTTATGAGGTGATGAATAGTAAAAATCACTATTTAACCACCTCATCTCTTTTAGTTATATAGTAATATATTTAGATTATTTGACATACTAAATTATTGACTTGCAATGGTATAGAGTGGCAAAGAATATTCATATAGTTTAGTTATTTGTTTTTAGATTTTTTTTTTTTTTAGCTGATCCTCCTGAACCACAAGAATTGCTTGCACCATTAACATAAACAAATAAACAATTAAAAAAAAAAAACATGAATTGCGTGTCTTCAAAACATCAGTATGGGGCACACACAACTCAATGATTAGATTTAGAAATATATACATGTTGAGTTAAATTTAGTGAAAAAATAACCAAATTAAATATTCACAATAATGAATAGTATAAAATAAATCAGAATATAACTTAAAAAATATTTGAGAATTTAATCTCATTTTGTATAAATTAGATTTGGTGAAAAAATAATCAAATCAAATACACACAATAATCAATAATAAAAAATAAATTATTAAGAAAACCTGTCTATATTGTAGAGAGAAAAAACTACAGCTATAATTTTAAAATAATTTATTATAATTAAGAATATAAACAAATTACTTTTTTTTTAGATAAATCCATCTCATAAAAAATATGTGAAATCTCACTAAAAATCCATTCTAAAGAGAATAGAAAATATATTTTTTTTCTGTCCTGTTATTTTTCTTGGTAAGTGTGTCAAAAAAGAAATATCCTTTTTTTGTTTTTCTGCACTCCTGTGTCGGCAAACAAAACGATAAAATCGGAAAACTTTTCCCAGTGTTTTCATCCCCCACGCCCATGCACAAACAGTCTTTTGTCCTCCAATTTCTTTCCCACTTTTTTTTTTTTTTGATTAATTCTAATTCTTTTCATATTTTTAATGGACCATAGCAAAGTCTTTTATTGGCTAGACTTCAATCAAACATCTAACAATATATAATAATAATAATGGAAAAGTTGATTATCCGCGCAAGGAGTAAAACACTAACAACTTCCGTTGTGGTTCTCCCACAATCAAGCTATGATTCTTCTGAACCCACAAGAAAGTAAATACTATGGCTGGCCCATTTTTCCTTTGCTTATATGTAATCGCATGTATTTTTTTGAAATCCCACAGGTTCACTTTTTTTTCCTCTTTTGTCTGTTTGGTTTTTTTTTAAAAAAAGCATCAAACATTTGACCCACTAAATCTCTTGCAAATCGAACGTCAAATCAAACCAGCCAAATAGTGATTATGGAGATTTCTATTAGCCCGACCAGTCCGGTGTAGTTTAATAACACTTGCCACGTAATGGTTGCCTTCAGTTCTTGGGGGATTAATTTTTGCCACCGTTATGCGTAAGAAAACTACGCTATGGCAATTGGCAAGTACGTTCTATGGACGATGAAGGCGAGTATGCGCTTTGGGTACTCCAGGACAGAGCAGCAACAATGCACCAATCATCTCCCACCGACGCAACACAAATATTTTCGTACAGTAAGCGGCTAGATGTGATCGGGGACCGAACAAGTAATACGTGCATAAAAAGACAAAAATAAGAGTTTTGTTTTTTTCCCCCTCATTTTAATCGTGCCCATATATATATATATATAAAGAATTCTAAATTATGTCTTTTGATTAACAACCGTTCATCGACAATGCTGTCAATTTTTCTTCAAATTGATATAATTTTAGCATATAAAATATACATATCAAATCATAAATGTTGTCTTATTAATATTTTTTGTCAATTTTGTTTTTTAAAATTAACGTGTTTTTAAAATACAAAATATTCACGCGGCTTAAATTATTAAAATAAATTGAAAAAAAGAATGCAATTGAGAAATGTTTGGAATTAAATTGGTATAATTTATAAATTTGAGATGCAATAGAAAACAAATATACAATTACAGCAAATTCTAGAAGAGTTTGGTTTGAGACAGAATAGAATCTATGGTTACATACTAAAATAAAAAATTACAACGGAACGATTGTTGTTCAGAGTTATAAAAAGAGGGAATAAGAAATATTAGGTCATTAAGCGAATGAGACAGCTTGGACTGGTTTGAGACGGAATCGAATCTATGGTCACATAGCAAAATTTACGTTTTTCTTTTTCTTTAATTATGTTGACCAGCAGGTACATAAATAATTTACATTCAGGTCAGAGACAGCTTGGACTGGTTCAATAATTCTGCACTATAGTCCAAAGGCCACCCTCTGTACGTAATCGGGGCGTCTTTTGCTAGGCATCCGAAGCAGCCCTGTAATCTGGAGCTCTGTTACTGCCCTGCAAAAACGTGCTCTGTAGAAAACAAGCTAAGGACCTTTATGGGCAAGGATCAATTAAAAAAATAAACAAAACAAATAATTCAATCTATTTTTACATAATAACTTAAGATTCTAATCTGTTTTTATATTTTTAATTATATTTATCATGTTCTTGAATAATATTTAAGTTCTGCCATTCCAATCCAATCAAATATTTTCCAACCATAGAAATATTTTTTAAACTTAAATACCTCATTAAAATGACAAAAAAAAATACTACTTAAAGTAACATAAATCACATGTTTTATATTCAAAATCTTTAAGATTTTTTTTTATTATTTATAGCATTTCATTCAAGAGCATTATGGTAATATATATATATATATATTCAGAAAAAATTATCTAAGAAATATATTAAAAACTTAAACAGTATTTAAAGATACAATAGATACAATGAAAACATAGGAAAGATTGAAAACTCATAACATAATTGAGTTATTTATTTAAACAAAAAATAAGGGTGAGTGTGGCGTGGGGTTGTGTGCGTGTGTGTTGTGGGGGTGGGAGTATGGCATCCATACTGACAGATGCTTGACTGGGGTTGCCAGCTTTAGGAGAAAGAAGCTTGTCCACACAAAATGGGAGGGAGATTGATGAAATTATCACTATCATAAATGACGCAAAAAACATTCCACAGACCAATAAATTTAGGTGTAAAAAATGATTGATTAACTCGCGCGCCAAAAAAAATGCGGGTGTGATAGGGTCAACTTAATGAATGAAAAGCATAAGAAAGATAAGACCATGATAGGATACTGTATTGATGCTTCACTTGGCTGCGCAGATTCAGTGGTGGCTTTCCTTTTCTTCGGTGATGGGGAATACTTTGACCTATGTTTCTTTTTATTGCTCGAGCAAAGAGCTACGGATTTGAAAGATTGATACCAGTCGTGAAGATTAATGAGATCGCCATGCTCTTGAGCCAATGCATACCTGAAACAACAAATGATTACAAATTACAACCTCTCAGTAACATTTACTGTTAACACAGCGAGGAGACATGATGTTACTCCACGTATTCTTGAATTCTACTGAAGTACCATCATTTTACTTTTTAAGAGAATTCATCTATTTGATAATGTAAGCTTTAAAAGCCATCTCAGGAACTGGTCCCAATGATTGTCTAAAGCACGTGCAGGTAGCAATCCAATACACAAAAAGGGGGAAATACAACAAAAAGAAAAAAAAAATCATCTACAAACTTCTCTTATCCTCGAATCCAGTGGTGAATCCCTAGTGGGTTATTGGTTTACACACTTTGAATTCAACTATATTTCATAATTCCAAAAACAAAAAATTTATGTGCGGGACTACTTACATTATTGAGGAATCATGCATTGATGGAAGTACTGTATTGCTACTCCTAATGCAACAACTGCACCGTATGATGTTCTGGAAATCCAGAAGATCGACTTGAATCCTTCTTCTTGGGTCTCCAATTAAAGCCTAACATAATTGAAAAGTTAGAAGTGCTGAGAGATTGGCATGCAAAAAATTTGGCAATTTAACACGAATAATGAGAAGGGTTTGCTACTCCCACTCCTGTGATGAAAAATTTCACTAGGAAATATCTTCCCCATTGATGATTGATTTAAGAGAAAACCGACCAGTAGTGGTCACCCCATAGCAGTAGGCCAGTAGCTAGTAATTCATTCAATCCTATGCACAGGTAAGGAAGCAACAAAGCATCTCAAGTCCATCATTAAGAAAGAAAATCTTCAAGCACGATTGAAAGGTATTCTGTGTCAGATCCTTCTAAAATTGAGCACATTTATTTTAGACTGAAAGGATTTGGAGAAATTCTTAACAAAATAGAAGAGGGATTTTGTATTTCGCTTCACTCAAACTTCCTTGAAAAAACACATTTACTGCTAATAAACTAAAACGAGCCACGGAGAAACAGCACTAGCAACAAAAACAAATGTAAAAACAACAATGGATCTAAATAATTAATTTAAAAAAGAATGATGATTTCTTGTAAGAAAAATTTATTAAGCTTTTCATTATCTACAATTAAAACAAACCATATATATGGGGCAAAAACAAAACCATAAAAAAAAACAATTTGAATAAGACATCCAGAGAAATTCTTTAAAATGACAGCTTAAAAGAGCAGGCTTCCCTTGAATTTGAATAGCATGGTTGTATTCAAGATAGTTCAGAGTTTGTGCGTCTGTAAATGCCAAGAATATTCTCAATTCAAACTTTCATAAGCCAATAAAAATTTTCAAACACATTCATGTTTTGTGAAAATTATTGAAGATCAATTGATTGATGACATTACAGTCAGTAGAATTTATGTGATCGTATACTATAAGATGAAAAGGACCTGACTTATAATAAAATGCACACAAACTCTCAGTTCAGCCATAAATTAAGGTAACTGTCTACTGTAGTATGCTCATGGATCAGGAGCTGTGTATAAAAATTTTATTTCTTTCTACAAGACGAAAAAATTCTGCAACTACATTAATCAGAATAACTGCTCTTTCAAACACTCACCATTTGAAGTGCGTTAACATTCTTAAAGCAGATAATTTCATGGAAAGCTATGCACTCAAGGGGCTGCATATGGTTCCTGATTGACATAAAGATCAGATATCAAGACACTCTCCCCATTGGATCATTTGTAATTAATTTAAACTACATTTCCAACTAAAAAAAAAAGTTTTATCAGATATATCATATGAAAAAGGAATACAGTTCCTTTCAAATTTCAAATCACAATATGTCACCATGACTCATCTCCAAATGCAAATGCTTGACCTGTATCTGCTTTGCTAACTAAAATGAAAAAATTTAGAAGTGTATTCCACCTATTTGACAGTGGAGGATTTGTCTTTGAAAAATAATGTCAGATATATGACGAAATTCTAAAGCCATGGAATCTGAAACACGTTGTAAGAGCAATTAACCATGTAAGAAACCAGTATGAAACTTTCAACATGCTTTATATACACACAGAAGTTTGGAATCACTCTCCTCAAAAAATTAAAATATTGATAGAAGTTAGAAAGCAGAAAATTTGATCAACAGTAGGTGAGCAAGTGTGCAAGTTATGCATGAAGTACGGTTAAGTGAAAAGGATTCTTGGAGTTTAGGCGCAAGGCATATGAGCATGCCAGAGTGAAATAAGGCACACATCTTTGAAATTAAATCTTATTATTTATGACAAACACTAAACACATTATAGCAGAACGCTAAAAAATTATAACATAAGTATAATTAGTTCATAGATCAAAATGCACATGCATGTGGCTGGTATTAATGCAGTTAACTATTCTGTTAAAAGAAAGTAGCCAACCAAGACAAGAAAGAACAGGAATACAGACTGGATACTCCTACCTAACCATGCTCTCTAATAGCTTTGCAGCTCTCTCATTTACTGCTTTGGAGTCTTCAATTCTCAAATGTTTACGAGATGCATGTCTCCTGTTACATTTGGTAGCAAAGATGATGCTGATAGAATTAGTGATTTCACATCATGCAGTGATAAACAATGTCAAAAGAAAAAGATTATGAGGCAAAAATGAGCAGCAACAGCAGGTAGTCAAAATTTGAATCATAAGATGTAATATTGATGAAACATTGGTCAAAACTACCAAGTCTCTTGAAAGAGATGCTATCAATTAGGACTAATCAAGGTAACCCAGCAATTCAGGACAACAATGTAGGGTAGATGGCAAAGCAGAATAAAGCTTTGACCGACATCTCACAAAATTTACCTGCACAAGACAACCATGTGTTTTTTGTTTAGATTTGAATCCACGCTTGACCTGTTACTGATAATGTTCCTTCCTAGCTTGAAATTGCTAGCAAACCCATAACAGAACTCATGAAAATAATGTAGGGATTCTGATGCTAAGAGTATTTAGTTTTTATAAATACTCAAACACAGTATAACAAAACCATCTCATAAACATATTAATGTAGGAAGTCACAACTCTACATTAGCAGTCTATCTTTGTCAGGAATATGACAGTACTACTTGTCACGGTATATGCAAAAAAATCTCCATAATGAAACAATTATATGGATGACAACTCTTCTTCATTGGCTTACTTCCTTTACATGTCCGTCAGTTCTAAATAATACAATATTACTGCATGTTGCTCAGTTATTATCGTTAGTGTCCATATCTGTTTTGACCTATAACTCAAACTTCAATAAAAAAAGAGATCCTCACTAGTTCTCTTAAATATCCCCGAGAAAAATACTTTTTAACTAATTATATCACTCCATCATAGATGCTTTAAGGGTGACAAATGAAGTGAAACAGCTTACAGGGAATTTGAAGAACGTCCAAGTTATAGAAGAGAGCATACAAACAAGCATCCAACAGGTCCTCGACAACATTAAACACCTTGAAGGCATACATTTAATATTTAAAGGACTTCTATTTTTGATTCAGTGTCACCCTGCCTCATAGCTTAAGATTATGCTGATAAAATTCCAATCCGGTCCTCCATGTGACATGACCTTGGAAAACTCAATCTTTTCAGAAATCCTTTTTTTTTTATCTTCTTAAGTTGACCTTCACAAAAATTAAACTGCTTCCACCATTGCCAGCAGATGTGGCATGTCAGCCAAGAGTGAGGAAGCCATGCCCGCGGCCCCCAAAAAAAGAACCAAAAACCAAAAGAAAATTTCAAAAATTCACGTCAGTCCCTAAATTTTAGGCATGTTTTCATGTAGACAGTTAAAAATAATTACTAAGTCATCCCAAAATTTCAACATATTGCATGATATTCCTAAAGCCACATGACTTTTCTAACTTTGCCCCTCCAATAGTTAGTCCACCCTCTGCCACTGATTGCCAGGACCAAGAGAAAAACCATCCACTCATTCCAGAAAGAACCAATCAGATTAACAACTTAAATAATCATGAAGCTAAACTACTCAGTTGCAGATTTAGCTAGTGACCTGAGCTGATATCCAATAGGATAAGACTCATAAAATATTCAATTGTAGCATTCTTCATAAATTGCCTAATGGCAGATCAAATTTCACCAAAAATAACAAGGATGAAAATGCAACACTTAAATGCAGGACAGAGAAGAATACAAAAACATTACTTGGATATGGTGCTTAAATCTTGCCCCAAACTCTTGCCATCCTCAGATTTCCATTCAGATAGCAACTTCTTCACTTTGCCATGAATCTATAAGAGTAAAATTCAATGAAGATAAGTTGATATATGATCAAATTTCAGATCATTCAAAATAGGTAGGCTGTCTTTTATCTGAAGCCCCAAATCAATGTAGGTCTACCAAATAACAGACAAATAATGATGAAAAGATTACCATCAAAGCATGTCGAAAACAGTCCAAGGTAGTAAGAGAGAAAACATAAGAGTGCCAAAAGACAAGAAAACCAACAAAGCTAGGATATATGCATACATGAGTGCATAAAAAATGTTAAACAAATAAAAGTTATGATACAGTTTGATTCCCCCCCCCAAAAAAAAAAAAACAACCCCACCGCACACACCAACAAACAGCAACTCAGGATTAATCATCTTCAGGAGCATCCACCCATCAATCAAAATGCTAAAGAATAAAAATTGGGGAAGATAATTTCTTCTGTCTTTAAGTTGTGAAGTCACAGCCTTAAGTGTGTCTTCTGACCGGAAAAAAAGGTCAAGTGTATAAGTAAACGAATTTATGGATAGCATGAGTGGAATCATCCCAACATACACTGGAGCAGCAGTAAAATTCAAACAATGCACAGAATACAAGTAATTTAATGCAAGAAACGAGGGTAGTTTTATTTTGCCAGAAAAATCCTTGGATATCTTACATAAATCCTTAAAACTAAGAACAAGTAACCATGCAGGCCAGTTTATCAGAAATTGCCCAAGTGTTAACGTGCACACCCCTATATCACAAAACAAATCATGTATTTACATGTATCAAACACTTCTAAAGCATAACTGGTTACTGAGAAGCTTGATAGGGTGACTGTTCAAAACAAAATCTCATGTTTCTACAAGATGCCAAAAGCTTTATAATAAAGCAAATGGAAACTGATTTGTTTCACATAACTCAAAGACAATCAAGATAGTCATTATTTATGAGATGAATGCTTTAAAGATATAATTAGAGCTTGTGATATCTTTCTTGAAATTATAATAATACCTGAGGGACATTCACTGTATATTTTTCCCAATTCTTCAGCAGCTTATGTAGCTGCATTGCTGGAAGATCCCTGATTGAATTCAAATTTCAGTATTCTACTACATATGTAACAAGAATTGAATTTAATCAATTCACAAGAAAAGTAGTTTAACTTTCAGTTGAGGTTGCAAGGGATCATCAGATTATTCTTAGATATCCAATGCCCGAAACAAAAAGGAGTTTTGATGATTATGAAAATAAATCTTTTTCTTTGAAGTTTTAAATCCTTTTTGTGGCAGTTGAAATTTTAAAGGCACTCAAACACTCAAGTGAACATACTACAATATCATTGAACTTAGGATTCAACTAGTAGGGATATTCATACAACATAATCCTCTGTCATACTTCAGCGTTTCAACGATCCATCTCTGAATCTATTGGTAATATCCTCGTCAACATTCTCTGGTTTTGAATGATGGAATCTACACATTGAAATTGTTACATTTTAGCTCTTTTACTCTAACTAAGCAGACAACCCCTTAGCTTTCCCAAACTTGAAAACTTTGGACTGAAAGGCACTCTTCCATAACTCAACTTGTAGTTTATCCCAACGCTGGTTTCACCTTCAACAAATTTATCATTAGCAAATATGGTGCTCCATGAGATATCATCTTGGACATGGGTAATCAGTTCAGCAATGGTCAAGGCAAAAATAATAGGGTTCAAGGCAAATCCTAGGTAAGCCTACTTTAATAGGAAATCACAATAATGTGGATATGGATAGTCACCATACATCATATCCAAGACAAATAGATTGTGTATTTTCTATATTCATTTGTTTGAGGACTTTCCTATTTCTACATTCACTTGTTTGATATCTAATAAGTAGCAAGCACTATGGTTAAACTTGCTTATGCAAGCCCCAGAAAGTTCATATAGCAAGTTTCTCTCCATTCTTCCCACTTTTATGTTATGATGTGTTGTTAATGGCTCTCGGACTTGATTATAGGAGGATCTTGTTGTGGAAGCAACCTTTGTCAATTGCATTTCCCAGATACTATTGCCTATCCACTTTAAACAACATTCACATCTACATTTTTGCGTGACAGATAAGAAGATTTATTACCTCACGATATTAAATGAGAGAAACATATGACTCTCGTTTGCTACTTCCAATTCTAAAATATTTTTGGTTGCATTAAGGTCTGATAGAACAGTGTGAACTTTGAGCAGTTTGGCAATTTTTCTTGTACACCTGCTTTCATGCATGTTCCCTGTCTTCCAACTATTTTGGCTGCTTTTGGTCAGTCTGGAAAGGTTAGGGTACCTTCTAAAACTACAGAATGCAAATTTTTTTATTTTTATTTTTTATTTTTATTTTTTATTTTGTGTGTGTGTGTGTGTGTGTGGTTCTGAACAAATTAAGACTAATGACTTAATCCAACTGAAACCCCAGAGGGCATTGTTTTCCGATGCTTGCTTCAGATGTATTAATAGTGGGCAGACTGTTATTATTGTGCAATCACATGTGATTTGGAATTCATAAATTTTTAGCTATTGAAGATGATCATTGGACTATTTCTAGAGCTTTTAAAACACTTTACTTAGTTGACATTCAACAAACTGGAAAAACATTCTGTTTTCATTCTCTTATTCTTGTACTTCTTCTATGAAAGATGCCGTATTCACCTTTCAGCTATCTTGATTTCTTTCTATTTATTTATAAAATTTCACATGTCATGTTTCGCTGATCATCCTGATAAATTCAGCAAAGAGATTGCTTAAGTTGGAGCTTTTTAAAAAATAAAACAGGCCAAAGAGACAAAGGGAAACACCAACACAATGCAGACGATGTTAAGAGAATAAATGTTTCTAGCATGGACCTTACAAAACCTTCAATATGTAAAATTTATGAAAGACACTTTGGATTCTAAAATGTTAGTTACCTCAACTTGCGCACTGCCTGACAAATGAAACCACTATTCCGTGAAGTATGATATTGCTGATGCTTGTAACAATCACTTGAAGATACTCCAGAGTCATTTTCTACGCCCCCACCATTGTCAGCAGCCCTTGACTTGAATGATTCAGGATCAAGGGCCTCACAGAATAAGTCTAAGAGTGTGACTTTATCGCACTTGCCAGCTTCATATAGGCACTGCAATTCATGATGTGCCCAGAAACAGAGAGATTAATTCCATTATGTGGATTGACCTAGCTCAATGGAAGCAGAATTTAACTACTAAGAAAAACATTATTGTCAAAAGGCTGATTTATTGGACACTTCTGTTTTTTTTTTTTTTTTCCATTTCAAGAGACTATCATTTGCTGGGCACTTCTACTGAAACCTCAGTGCATCATACGCTTGAGAAGCAATACATATCAATTGTCAAACACTCATGGAAAGTTTACACACTTGTAATTTCTGTGTCAGTTTTTTCAAGAAACCAGCACATTTATTATATTATGGCTCTTCTGAATATAATAGATTGAATAACAGAAGAAATTATACACCCCACATTTACAAGATGGAAGACATACACATATAGCATAAGCAGAACCGAGTCTATGTTGAAACCGAATACTGGTTCCCATATCCACAGACCATAGCCAAAAAAGACATAAATTTCAAACAGAACTGAACATAAAAAGATGTATCAATTTAGAATAAAAGAAATTTCAGTTTTGTGGTCAAAGCTAAGGTAAACAGCTGGAGAATAGGAAGTCTGACATAACCTTTCCAGTGGATATAAAACGAAAAGATAGCAACCTTTCAATCAGCTGCTTTGCATGAAATAGAAAATGCATCATAAATGTTCGATTTCATAAATTTTAATGGAAAGCAACAAATTTAAAAGGATTGAGGGCCCACCAGAATCACAACGCTCCATTGACACTGCAATTTCTTCAATTCTGCCAAACCATTTACTAAAATTTTGCCTTGCTGTTTGGCTATTTTATTTCTGTAAATAGATTTTGCAACCCAAATGAGCTATTATATTCCTCGATTATATCTGGCACAATTATTCACACACAAATATGTTGATGCTATTAAGTACCTTCCAAAAGACATATAAGATGGAAGGTTTAAAGCACGCTTGAGCATCATTTCTGGTGACAATCCGTACTTTTCACCTTGTAACATCTTGATTGGTGAAACAAGAAATACAAAGAAAAAGAAAGAAAAGCCAAGCATCAGTAATATTAAGCACGTAAGTTTTTTCCAAATTGGAAGGAAATGAGGGAGGAAGTACAGACAAGAAAAAAGTTTAAATAGTTGCTAGTCGTGCTCTCTGAAGCATGTAAAAACGGGTAAAAACAGGAAAGGAACAATAATAAAGCTAGTTGAAAACGTGAACTATATGTTATTGTTGCTTGATGATGTACGAGATAGAAGAAAGAGGAATAAACAGATAAAGGACTGCCACTTTCTTTGAATCACCCATGATACTTTCTCTACCTCAATGTTTTTCACATATAGAACATGGCAGATGATTTCTCTTAGCATAAAATATGACAAAATATTTGATAAATGTCTTTGCTGTGGCATGCGTCTAATCACGTTGAAAGAAAGCAACTAGAGTAAAGTGTGTACAATGTATCAGTGTGAAATCTATGAACAAATATACTACTAGAAAACTGCAGTACTATGGTATTTGGGAGAATAGGAAAATTAACCTGATTGTCATCTCCAAGAAGAAACCATTGGAGCATGAAGCTCAGAGGTTCCATGAAGAAATGTTGAGCACATGCTATCTGAAAAACACTTCCAAAACATAACATCATCAGGCATTTGATCACATACACCAGAGAGGAAAACTACAATGTGGTAAAATACAATAACAAAACAGTTATCATATCCAAACCTTTAAAGCTCTTATGAAAGATGTTATAGTTCCATCTTGGCTTACAAAATAATTTCTCAAAAAATTTGCCACATTGTGGCTTATACCGAATCCAGAACATTGCTTCATAAGAACAGCCTCAACAACAGCGTCCATTCTCTCTGGAGGGGTTCCCAAAACGAACTTACAAGGGCACAAATGGTGTAGTGCATTAGACTGTAGTATACTTCTAGGAGCATCAAGAGTTGTTGAAACTCCCATTATTAAAACCACTGGGATTTTTAGTACCCATTCACTGATAGAAACAAAAAGTTACAAGTGAAAACTGCATAAGTATACTGGCTTTAGGATATTTTAACAGATATTTTTAAATCATTAGAGTGGCAATAAAAATAAATGTAAATACAATTCCAGGAACACTTTGAGTTAGCGGGAATGAGTTGTATTCTTTCCTATTTCTTATCATGTATATCTCCTATATAGTTTTTCTCTTAAATTAGGAATATACACACAGCTGTAGGTTTGATCTATTTACCATGTATAGGTCCTTGTATCTTGTATATATATGATTAGAATATATGAAAGAAAGGTATTCCGCATATTAACAATTTGGTATCAAAGCCTTGTACCCTAGCTGCAGCTGCTCTTTTTCTTTTTTTTTTCAAAACCCTAGCCGTAGTTGCTGCTCCTTTCTTCCCTAAAACACTAGCCACACCTCGGTATGTCTACCAAACCCGAGGTTGCAAATACCGACGAAGGAAAACCTCCACCATAATCGGTCACGATGCTCCTTCATCCATCCATATTAAATTAGATGGTGCTAACTATCGGGTCCGGTCTAAGATCTTGGAGATGCATATTGCTGGAAGAAAAAAGAAGGGCTATATCAATGGAAAGAAGGCTGCATCGGCAGAAGATGATCCAAGCTATGATGAATGGGAGGCCGAAGATGCACTTGTCAAATCTTGGCTCATTAATTCAATGAGCGATAATCTAATGTCACACTTTGTGCAAGTGTGGCACAACAAAAGGAGTCCGGAATGCTGTGAAAAGAAGTTAACTTAATGCATCCGATTCTTCTCAAGTTTATGAACTCATGAAGAAGTCTTTCCAATCACGTCAAGGTGGCCGGCCTCTAGCTAAATATTACAATGAATTAAACTCAATTTTTATGAAGATTGATTATCGAAGGCCCAATGATATGACATGTGCTGCTGATATAGAAAAATACAACAAACGTATGACGAAGACAGGGTCTATATCTTTCTTGCTGGTCTTGATCATAATTTAGATCAAGTTAGTAGTCGTGTTCTAGCTACTTCTCCTCTACCAAGATTAGAAGAAGCCTACTCCTTGGTTCGTCGAGAAGTTGAACGACAGAGTTACCATGAGGGCGTAAATCCACTCGAAGCTTCAGCTCTAACCGTCCAAAAGAGCACTTCTACAACTTCTCAATCTTGGTTTTGCACCCACTCGTCATAAGAATACACATACAGTTGATGTTTGCTGGAAGAAGCATGGCTATCCGGAATGGTATAAACTCAAGCAAGCCGAGAGGAAAAACGAAATTCTACTCGAATACTACCGCCATAGATACTACTCCATCTTCTCGCTTCTCATGTATCTCGAACATCTTCCCAATAAGGTAATTTTGGTTTATCCATTATTTCTACTTATCCTAATACTTGGATTATTGATTCGAGGGCCACCGATCATATGACTAATAACTCTTCTATCCTTGATTACCTAACATCTCCACCAATTAAGTCCGTACAGAGTTGCTAATGGAAACTCTATGCCAATCACAAGGGCTGAAAATGTCTCTTTCTCCAACATTTTCTATGTCCTCTATTCTACTTGCACTTAGACTTTCAAACAACCTTCTTTCCATTAGCAAGATAACAAAAGATCTAAATTGTTCTGTCATTTTTCACCCTACTCATTGTGTGTTTCGGGACAATCTTACGAAGATGACGATTGATATTGGTAAAGAGAGGGATGGTCCGTATTATTTGGAGAACAATCAAGGCATATTAGCACCTCCTCGTGGCTTTCAAACAAAGAGAAAAATCTGATAGAGAGAGAATTATGCTTTGGCATTGTCGGTTGAGACATCCATCTTTTTCTTATTTAAAGCGTTTGTTTCCTCAATTATTTTTCAACATTTATATTTCTAGTTTAAAGTGTGAACGATGCATTTATGCTAAAAATCATCGTGTTTCTTTTAAAGTCAGTTTTAATAAAAGCACTATTCCTTTTTTATGTGTTCATACCGATGTATGGGGTCTTTTCACTACTTTTGCTTCGGGACATAAGCATTTGGTCTCTTTTATTGATGACTCGTACTAGGGTCGATTGGGTATATTTGATGAAATTTAAGAGTTATATTTCCCATATTATTCCTCGGTTTTGCAACATGATTCTCACCCAATTTAACACTAAAATTAAAGTTTTTCATTCTAACAATGGTCGTGAGTTTGTGAATCAATCTCTTGCTAAGTTTATGACACAACATGGCATTCTTTCCCAAACAACTTGTGTTTACACACCCCAACAAAATGGCATAGCAGAACGTAAGAATTGCCATCTCCTTGAAGTGGCTCGAGCCTTGTGTTTTACTATGCATGTTCCAAAACGTTTTTGGGCTGAAGCTATCATGACAGCTTGTTTTTCTTATCAATCGAATGCCTGCTAGGATTCTTGATTTTCAAACTCCTTTAAGGATGTTATCTAGATTTCATCCTATTCCATCTCGCTCTTAATATTTGTCCTAAGATTTTTGGATGTGTATGTTATGTTCATATTCATTCTCTTCATAGAGATAAACTTGATCCCCGTGCTATCAAATGTGTGTTCCTTGGCTATTCTAATTCACAAAAAGGATACAAATGTTTTCATCCTCTCACAGGAACCTATTATGTGTCGATGGATATTCAATTCCGTGAAAATGAGTCCTATTTTTCTAACGATATATCTATGGTTCCTCTTCGTGGGGAGATTGGTAGTAAAGAAGAGGAACAACTATGGTTGAGAGAAAAACACATATGGACCTCGTGTACGGATAACATTAAGACAAATAGGGAATCCTTCGTTTTAGATGATCCTTTTGTTGAGGAAAATAAAATTGAACCGGATGATGAGAGACCCGAGAGACCAAGACATTTCTTTGAGAAAGGATATTCTAGGAGAAAGGAAGATATCATTGTTCCGCCTCCTAATTCTAGTGCCTCCCTTTCGATACTACCATGCCATCGGATGAATCTTCTAAGACTAACATCGAGGTATGCATTATTCTTTCGAATCTCCCGAAAATTCCAATCTCAATTCCAACATTGATCGAATAGGAGATATCCTCTTCGCAAAAGAAAAGCAACCGATAGATTTGGTTTCTCAAAAACCTCCAATGTTGTTTACCCGATCTCCGACTTTATATCCTATCACCATTTGTCTAAAACTAACTTAACATTTGCTCTTCAATTGTCTTCCGTACCTATTCCTAGTCATTTTTAATAAGCCCTCAAAAATCCTAAGTGGAAGGATGCAATGGTAGATGAAATGATGACTCTCCAAAAGAATTCTACTTAGGAAATGGTTGATTTACCGGTGGGAAAAAAGACTATGGAGTGCAAATGGGTATACACTCGTTAAATACAAGCCGGATGGGACGATGGAAAGATACAAAGGTGGGCTGGTCGCAAAAGGCTATACTCAAACCTATGGTATTGACTATTAAGAGACTTTTGCACCGATTGTCAAGATGAATATTGTTTATTGTTCGCGTCATACTCTCACTTGCGGTTAATTTGGATCGGCCTCTACAACGGTTTGATGTGAAGAATGCTTTCCTTCATGGTGATCCGACGGAGGAAGTATTTATGGATCCACCCCTAGGATTTACACTCGGAAGAAGGAAAGGTATGCAAACTAAAAAAAACATTGTATGGATTAAAGCAATCACCAAGGGCATGGTTTGGGAGGTTGAGTCATGCAATGAAAGAGTATGGATTCAAGCAAGCCTTGGCAGATCATACCTTGTTCTATAAACAGGATCATAATGATATTACCTTACTTCTTGTTTATGTTGATGATATGATTATAACGAGCAATAACAAAGATGAGATTGAGAAACTTCGAAGCTATTTAACCAAAGAACTCGAGATAAAGGATTTGGGGCTTCTCAAATACTTCCTAGGCATTGAAGTCTCTCGATCTAAGCAAGGCTCGTTTCTTTCCCAAAGGAAGTATACTCTAGATCTCTTTGCTGAAACTAGTAACTCGCTTGTGAGCCTATAAATACTCCTATTGAGGTAAATCATGGCTTGTCTATGTATCCTAATCAAATTCCAGCAAACAAGGAGAGATATCAAATGATAATGGGAATGTTGATCTATTTAACTCACACAAGGCCGGATTTAGCATATGCGAGTTAGCGTTGTGAGTCGGTTTATGCACAATCCAAGTGATCAACACATGAATGTCGTGAATCGAATTCGGCTTATTTAAAATCAGCTCTCGGTAAAGGTGTCTTATTTTTCAAACATGGACATCTTGACGTTGTGGGTTATACGGACTCCGATTTTGCTGGTAGTAGATTGGATAGAAAATCTACTTTCGGATATTTATCGTTTGTTGGTGGCAACTTGGTGAGTTGGAGAAGTAAAAAACAGAATGTGGTTTCATTATCAAGTGCGAAGCTGAATATCGTGCTATGCATCATGCAATCACTAAACTTTCTTGGTTGAAAATCCTCTTAGAAGAACTCGAGTTTGGTCCAAAGAAGCCAATGGTGTTGTTTTGTGATAACAAAGTAGCTATTGAGATTGCTAATAATCCAAGTGCAACATGATCGAACTAAGCATGTTGAACTTGACAAAAACTATATCAAAGATAATCTCGATTCGACACAATAAAGATTCCTTATATCAGAAATTCGGATCGGTTGGCTGATATTATGACTCATGGTATCGCTAGTGGGCCATTCTATACTTCGTTATCCAAGTTAGGCATGTGTGATATCTACGCCCCAACTTGAGAGGGAGAGTTAGCGGGAATGAGCTGTATTCTTTCCTATTTCCTATCATGTATATTTCCTATATAGTTTTTCTCTTAAATTAGGAATACACACACAGCTGTAGGTTTGATCTATTTACCATGTATAGGTCCTTGTATCTTGTATATATATGATTAGAATATATGAAAGAAAGGTATTCCGCATATTGACAATTCTTTGTAATCTAGAAATTAGAAAATTCCACATAGTTATAGGGCCAAAAATAGGACTGCAACTAAGAGGGTAGGAACAAGCTTTCGTATAGTATCAGCTTCTCCAAGCTGTTAGATTGGTCCCATAAGCACTGTATAAACTGGCAATAGGTTAAAATTCAACAACATTGCTTAATAAACCGTTTTAGTTACTCGATGCATGTACATTTCATTAGTACAAAAGTTCTAATCCATTTTTCAAATATTATGAAATACCCAAGTAACAAAGTACACAGAATCATCAAGTAGTCGTGGAATTGTGATGTATATACCAATTCTACCCTGGCAATAAGGGGAATATTTAACAAACTAATCACTTCTTTGAGCCAAAAGTCTAATTCAAGGACAATATTATTTTATTGGGCATTAAGCTTATTGAAACAATATGATTTCACTGCAGGACTACATATGATCTTTCAAATACATCATTTTCTCACTGCTTAACCCATGATTTCAGAAGAAGTAAACGGTAGCATATGAAAGCATTAATTTTCAATCCAGTAGGGCTGCTCACAAATTTAGATCATTTACCAAAGGGATGCATCATCATTCGTAATTTAGGTTTCCATGAATTTAAATCCAATAGATTTGAAACTGTTCCACATTTCCTCACAAAAGGCCGATATAATCTAAAAGTCAGGTGATTCGGAGGTAAGAAAGTAACACCTGGAGTTTATATACCGCACTAATTTTCATATTGGAGATCTAGATATCAATAAATATCTTCCTTAACATTCCACTTTAACTACTCGTCATTCTTATCACCAAATAGTCCTCATGCCACTGAACCAATGGGTGTTTAGTCTAGTGGTATTCTCCCAGAGGAGAGGGAGTCATCTTGGATTCAAGTCCTACTCTTGGTCATCCAGAGAATCAAGAAAAAAGTTCCCAAGCTACTGAAAACAACAGGTCGAATCAATGACCAGGTAACAAGAAACACCTAACAGATCCAAACATCACACACTCACAGGATTTGCAAATGTCAATTCTAAGTCCATGCACATAAGTCATTATGTAAAAGACAAGTACATTTAAATGGGATAGAACAATGAAATCTGATAGCAATGTAACAAAGTGCACATTGAAATGACGCTGTGCAATAAGGGAATTGTAATTCTAGTTTATTTGAAGTGCTGATTGATAAACCTAATGGATATAATGATTAATAGAACCATGTAAAAAAGATCATGGTTTCATTATTAGTCCACGAGGATCAAGAAACCAGAGCAAAATTTGGTGTGCAGAAAGATAATGAAATATAGAGACCAGATTGAGCCGTGTATTTTGTGCAAATTAAGTAACAGAACTGATAGCACAAAATGCAATGAGTAAAGCAGGATGGGAAGATGACAAAAATGCACCCACATACCTCAGCATGAGGATGAAGTCAGACAAGACAGACCCACTACATCGATCCATATCCTCTATTATTATAACCACTGGATTATTACAGCTTCCTTGTTCCCTGTACCATGTTGCTAAGATGGATACATCAGCTGCCTGCAAAACATTAGCATGGCAAACTAGTATAAATAAAGAACACATCAAGTAAGAGCCTACTTCACTTGAAAAAGGAATATAAAGGTGTGACCACTTACATCCAAAGTAACCATTAAGAACTGTCTCAATAAACTTCTTAAACAACCACCAATACCATTTTTCACAGAAAAATCCAGTGAGGAAAGGTTAGCCACATGGCATCCTTGAGATTTCAAATGTGAACCAAGCTCTTTGAATGTCAGCAGATCATCAACAAACTCCATATTCTCTGCCAATCATTGTCAATCAATGATCTTTGGGAGTTAAAAAGAAACAGAAACGATAACTTGTGTGTTCTACAAATGCATACATCAATACATATTAAGTAACATAGACTGCATAAAAATAACGGACACATAACAACAAGAGAGTAGAGCAAGACCCCACAAAGGATGCATCATCAAAAGAGGGCTGCATATCTCATGCATGTGCTCTTCCCTCATTCCTTCCTTACAGCCATGTCAAAAACTTGGGACATACTAGGCTAATAAAGTCACAGATATTAGCCCTCTAATTTTAAGCTGGAACCATTAAAATTAAATTTATTTAAACCTTTATCCTCTGAATGAAATTATGTACTTTTGCTGGAACGAATCAGATTACAACAACATAAATACCAGCTTAAAATGATAGTATGGATGCTATCTAACACTTTATGTTTCTCTCCTAACAAGAATGCAAATGTTGGAGTTTTCCGATTTGTTTTCTAATTTGAATGCATGAATTACATCTATCTGAAGTAGAATTGATCCCTCATTTCTTTCTCCTACAGTCACACCTGAAACTGCATCGGTGAATTGGAGGAAACTTACTGGTGAGAACCAGCCCAGCGAATAGTTGTTTAGAGGTAGCATCTGTTACCATTGGAAAAGACCTGGTTGCTTCAGGAAATGTAGGTTTTGTAAATGATGTGATGGTGTTGAAAGACTCACGAACCCAACAATGTATCTCATTGAATGCATTAGTGTTGATATCCCTCAAAACATCCTGCAATAAGGTTGTTAGCTCTTAACCCTTTAATGGATGGATAATAGCAACTAAATTGGTTGATTCTTTAACATAATATGTTCCTTTGCGCTCAACTTTCATGGGAATGGGAAAAAAACCATATCTCAGCCAACCCAAAAGTAGTAATAATTAGCTAATTAAGTGAAACTGTTCATCTCATAGAGAACAGAAATCACTAGTTCGTTTAGAATACTGCTTATCAGCCCCTTATTGCTGTCTTTGCATATGCTTTGCAACCAAATAGAGCCAAAAATATAAAAGAACAAAATCACAACACAGTAATAGTAAAGGATCAAAGAGACAAACTTCAATGGTTGACTTGATCTTTGACCAAACAGCCTTAAAAGCTTCCATTTTCATGCTCACATGCCGATGATCATCGCATGCTTCAGCTTTCTCAGCATCTAAGCTCTCACCATTCTTAGTTAATGATGGAGACAGATCAATACGCCTCCTGGTTTTCCCTGTTCCAGATGGTTTTTTCTCGGGTTTCTGAGACAATGCTCTGTGAAGAACAAAAAAGGGCTGTGCACAGAGAAACAAATGTTGGGGGAATTAGTTATCCAATTTGTTGCTAAAAAATAAAACCCGTAACGCAAGACAGAATCAAGTGCTGAATGCGAAGAGGATCTTAGGTCTCCCAAAATAATTATAAAATACGACCGGGGAGTAATTAAAATCTCTTTTTTTTTTACTATTGTTGTATTAGTTTCATGGGGATTTTCTTGGTAGACCAACAGAACATTGAGATGAGAGTAAGAACCTGGAGATTGTTTTCGGTGGTGTCCAGCGTCGAGGGAGGCAGTGTTTCAGAAGCAGTGGCAGAATGCGCCATTTTTAGAGAAAGTTAGGAGCAGGTTTCTATATCGTTAGGGTTTTAGCATTGTAATTGGGATTTTCTATATCTTTGGCGGGAAATGACTTCCAGATTAATCGTGTCTTTTTTTTTTTTTAATTAAAAAAATACGCCAAATTCCCGACACTCAAATAAAATAATAATAATAATAATATCAATAAAAAAACATAAAATTTGTTTTGAATAAATGATATATACTGATTTGTATAATATACCGAGTCTTCAATATATCTTTTTATTTATAATTAAATCTATTATAATCCTAAATAGTATCTAATTATTCAATTAGTCTTTTTAATTATTTTTTTCAACCAAATATTAGATTTGATCAAAATTTATTTTCGAAACGACTAAAATACAAAAAAGAAAAAAAAACAAATCTCTAATATGTTTTTATATTTTTAATTATGTATATTATGTTTTTGTATAATATATAATTCTCCATTATGTTCTTTAGTTAAATTTTTCTATCTAAATTGATAAATTATATTTTTATTTTAAAATTGTTCTCGAACTATATAAAAATATAATAGAAAATTTTCTCAAAATTGCTTAAAATATTTTAAGAACTAAGAAGTTTTAAAATTACTTGACCATTAAATTTTTTTTTAAATGTCATTTCTACGATTTTTAGTTAGGGAGAAAAAAATAATGGGTGAAAGAAAAAATTAAGACATAAAAAAAAGTATATTGAAAAAATCATTAATTTAACAAAAAAAAAACTAATGAAGAGATTAAATTATATGATTAATTTTAAAAACAAAAGGGATTAGTTAATTTGTAGATGGACTAATTTATAATTGACAATTGTTTTCATTTTTTATTATTTATTTATTTTATTTTTATTTTTCTTTTTTTCAAAAACTAACGATTACATGTGGTGGTCGGTGCTCGTAACCAGAATCCGGTGAGTCTCCTGCGAAATCAGCAATACTCGCCAAAAAAAAGAGATGAAAATAGGCGACGCCTCGTCCATACAAGTGATGCAACGTCTGGCTTCTTCAGACTTGCTTGCATAGGCTAAGTCCCAGCCCAAACTCAGGCTTAGGCTTGACTCCAAGCCCATTCATTCCTGGGCAGGCCCAGACTTGATTATATTATGTAGTTTTTTATTAAAAAAATCGGCATATATATAGTTGTATTGAAAAGTTATCTTTAATACTCTATCAAATAAATATTGAAAAAATATTAACCAAACTAGATTATAATTTTTGGTAATTTATACCAACAAAAGTTAATTAACCGAAGTAAATTATGATTTTCTATAATTTATGCCAACAAAAAATTAATGAACCAAAGTAAATAATTTATTTAACAAATAATTCTTTCTAAAGTTACATAAAAATAAAATTGATAAATCAATCAATAATTTATTTAACGAATAACCTTTTGAAATTTAAAAAAATAATAAATTATTTGCATATTATGAAAGAAAAAGAATATTGTCACTAAGAAATTATTAAGTAAAACGCGCATAATATAATGGAAGGAAAAAAAAAAAAAGGTTTTGGCTAATTCTTCAAATATATTATACAAAGACAAACTGATGTAGGGATAAAAGATATTTTATCAATATTTTAAATTGCCTTTTCTTCACCCAAACATAATACATAATCCTTTGGCTAGTTTCTATTGTACACCACTAGCTCGCTACCGAACACATTTTCATTTATGTCCCTTGTTGTTGTTCATTTATTTTGTCTCGTCCTTTCCGTTTTGAAATAAAAACAAACGTGTTTATTTTTTTTTCAATTTTTATTATTTTAAAAAATAAAAAAAGTATAAATAATTCAAAAGATTGATGAGGAAAAAAAGACATGTTTCAAAATAAAATAATATTAAATTAAACATAGTTAATATTAATATAATAACTAATTAATTAATTTTTAAAACTAAAAAATTATTTAATTCGTTTTGACAAACTAAAATGACTAATTCATAATTTACTCGGAAAAAAGAAAACCAGAGGGTGTGACGTTGACACTCAATGACGCCAGTTGTTATTGTATTGGCTTCCGTACGGTAAAAGAAAGAAAGGAAAAGTTGCGCTCTCTCTTCTCTCTCTATCTCTAGAAAGAAGAAGAGAACAAATTGAGAAAGAGGGAGGTGACCCGACCACGTGAGCGATAGATACCCTAATAGCCAGCTGTGTTTGGGCCCCACTCTCCTGACGTTGACGTCACTTCTCTTCCTCCCTCACTTTCCCCAATGCGCATGCACTCTCGCCCACATTTTCTTTTCTTTTATTCTTTTTTTTATTTTTTTTAATAATTACCACCAACCTGCAAAACAGTACTACCTAGTAGCTACTGTATAGTTTATTATTAAATTTTAATTAATACTCCTAACCCTAGGACCTATTTTTTTTGTTTAAAAAAGTGGGTTTATAAATTAATCCTCGTATTTTAACTCCATTAATAACTTAATTTTTTTATTAATTTTTCATTAAAACAGTGATGATGTGTTTTTACTACAATATTTTTTGTTTGCGTTTAGAAGCTGTCAATCAACATGTATTTTGTGTTGCTAATTTTAACAATTTAATGTGAGAAATACTTTTCATCCATTACTTCTGTAAATTCTCCATTCTCTATAAAATATAAAATTAATATTAAAATTTACAAAATATTTTAGATCAGCCACCCTGTTATATATCTAGATGATATAGAAGTTAATTAAATCAAACCATTATGCGATAATAGTCTAGATCTCTAATTTGTTCTTCATTTTTTAATTATATCTATTATATTTTCAATATGTTTGTCCGAAAAAAAATAATTTTTTTTACTAAAATATTTCTAATTGGAATGAAAAATAAAAATAAGATATTTAAATTTACACGACCCATATGTTTTTTTTTTTTGCCAAGAATATTTCCATAAAAAATCTCATTGTAAAAAAAATAAATTAAGACCTAACAATATTAAAATATATAATAAATATACTTAAAACACAAACAAATTGAAGACTCAATATAATACATGAAACAAACTGGTGAATTTATCCTAATATATAGTATTAAAAAAAATTGTTTGACGGTAAACGCATCAACTAACTCATATAAGATGTTCAAAGATGGCTGTTGCAGTTGAATCAACAGTCATTCTAGCAATCAGAGCATCAAATCTTCTGATGCTGTTGCCACGTGCCACCGTTAATTTACGATAAAGATAGGTAAAGTAGATGAGCCACATCAGGGTTACAAAGCTATTAGTTAGATGAATCGAGCAACTTTATTCAGTGTAGCAGCAACCAGAAAATCTATCGAAGCCAAGTTGAAAAAACTGTTGCCCTTGATTCAGTACAACCACCCACAATGTTCCCCATTTCTCAAATCGCCTGTCTGAGTTTTGTTTTATTTCCACAACTAAAATTTTGAGCTTGCAAATGCAGCAGCAGACATTAGACAAGACATCCATGCAGAAAACCCTCGCAGCAATTTAAGGCACGCACATATATGTTAATCTTTGGCCAGGACCACCTTCGACGGTTTGCTTTGTGAATTCTCAGTTATCTGCAGAAAAATATGCAGGTCTGGAGTCAGATAAAGATGGACATAACACAGGAATATTAATGATCATCTTCCAAATATAAAAACCCACCTTGTGGAGAACGACAGCTTGTGGAGAAGTCAGATGAGGCCATGGGAATGGATATCGACAGCTGAGTTGTAGAGAATGAGGTCTGGTTGGATCTATCATCTTCGAGGGCAGACCAAGTGTCCCGGTTTTTAGGCCATTCGTCGAAGAAGGGTCGAAGAGACTGCGCATCTTGTTTCACAGGTTCCCTGGCTGTGAAATCACTACTGAAAAATGAATGCTGGGGATAATTATTTTGCAACATAGAGTTGTCAGTTGATTTCTCAGTGGGGAACGATGAGACTCTGGATTGCATCATAGACCATGCATTGTCCAGCTGTGAGTTTATCTGGAGACCCCTGTTGCTTCCTGAAGCTTCAGACAAGAAGATATGCTCCCCACCCCCAGGCTTAAGTTCTTGAAGATACCTAGTTTTGGCATTAACATTACAAACATAAAAGAAATCTTCTTTTAATATTTGATTCTAAACTGAGAAGAACTAAAACACGAGGAGAGACTTAGCAATGCGATATAATTAGCAGGAAAACAAAAGGAATTAGGAGCTAAACAAATTTTGGGATCCAAATGGGAACACAGCTACATATATATTTCAGGTATGCTCATATCCAGCAGCCAGACAATTTCAACAGCTAAAAGCATTTACATCAGTACATTGTGAGACCCACTTTTGTGGCTTGACTAGCACAAAAGCTTTAAGTAAATTATGGTCAACAAAGAGGAGAAAAGCGTGGGAGATGCTTACTGCTGAAGAATAGAATTATGCTCTAAACTGAAGACAAACTCGTAAATCACTTTGAGGTTGAAAAGTGAAGAGGCTAATACAGAGGGTTAAATCTACAAATTGACATTTGACAATAATAGTTTTATTTTATTTTAAAAAAGAAAGTCTTTCGGATCAAAAAGAACAATAGAGCAACAGAGAAAACAAAAACACAAGAAGGGCAAACCCTAGACATAATTAAAAAAAAAAAAAAAAGCTTAGCACAAGGACTGTAACATGTTATTGGCAGATAGTAACGAGAGCACAAGCGCAGGTGTCTTCAAGAATAAATATCCAGGATACAATTGTGAAGTTGCCACCAACCTTTTCTTAGAAGATCCCAGGCAGCTAATTAACCAATTTAACATAAATTTCTGAAGAACCCATAAGACACTCTTCTATCTTTTACCCTTTCAACGGAAACTTAAGAGGGTAACTAAGATGCGAAATATTTGCATGCTCAAGACAATTCAGAGTGCTTGTCAGAATTCCACAACAATTTAATAGCAAAATCAGAAAGCCAAGATTTTGACGGCTATTCTTACAGACATCAGGGCCCAGGAGTCTGTGCCTAGCTAAAATTAAAAGTTTATGCAGCACGTCCATTACCTAGATCACAAGTCTTCCATACAAATCCTACCGCACAATTTATCAATGGGCCCATCAATATTTCTGGAAACAGTTTAACAGATAAAGCATCCTCAATTTCACAAGGAAACATGTCTGAACAGGAAAAGAGAAGAAACATAAAGCATCTAATAAGAAATCCACATATATTGCATACATACACAAAAAATTGAATTGCAAGCTTTAGTCATCAAGCAGAAAGTCGGTTGTTTTGCGTGAACAGGCTCAAATGTTTTTTAAAAAAGAAAAACATAGATAAAGACTAGCCTATAACTATCTTCAGAACCACCAAAAATTAGGTAGAAACTGACAACTCTCTATCCTCTGAAAATTTCAGGCAATCCTTGATCATAAAATATCTGCAAAACTACCAAGCTAACTTTTGGTGTCTCACTCATCTTTTCATCTCCAGAGCGAATTTTACACCCAGTGGTTTGTTTAAGACAATTTCTGATGGCTGTCAGACCAAAGGAGGAGTAAGACTGACAAACAAATATACATTTCATTCTGACACTTGGTATTTCCCCTCCATCGAGCCTAGCTAGTACACAGCAGGACACAGAAGTGAGCCCAACAGAAACATGAAAATTTTTTGCGACATTCCCATCATCCAGATTACCATAGTCCACCATCTACCTTCTAACAAACAATTTTCTCAATGTGGGAAAAAAGAAGGGCATGTGGTAGGCATAATGGCCTAAATTTATATAGTAAAGCATATATTTGGATTAAATTATTTTCCTTCCCTAAATTCCAATTATTATAACAATATGAAAACTTGACGTGGCATGCTTGAATAAGCTTAGTAATCATCTTTGTTATCTCATGTTGTAGTTTTTTAATTCAATTTTTTTGGTATAATAGCATCCAAAAAGCACATAACCTGTAAATAAAAGGTTGAGGATACCTGTAATCTTTGGTTGGGATTCCATAGGGAATGGAGTTCATATGATAATGGGATTGGTTAGTTCCAGAACCAGTGCCCTGGGGACTACTATATGTGTGCAGTGGAAGGTTCTGGACGCTTCCAGTTCCACTGCTGCTCCCTGTAACAGTCAGTGATGTCATGGTGGACGATGACTGTGTCAAGGTTTGTGATTCCACAGGCTTTCTTGAACGGTTGCGGCCACGGTGCATGTGGCGCTCACAGTATTTGGAGTCTGGATATGCATCTTTGGAGCACCTCCACTTCTTGCCGTCTGTCCTCCTGCATCTACCTGGCTCCGGATCCACCTTCTTGCCATAGAAAGTGCAATATCCCACTGAAAAATCAGCTGAAAATGTTATCCAAACCCAAAACAAACAATTTCATATCAACAACAAGACAAGCATGAGATACCCACGATGCCACAAGCAATATAATATTGAACATTGTGAACAATGAAAACCTGATGGTTCATTATATTAAGAATATGATACAACCTTTACAATCAGCTGTGTCAGAAATTGGTATAAAAAAGTGATATGGCATTTCATAATCAAGACATCAACCATATCACATGACTAAAGAAATATTGAAGAGAGAATCAAATCAGCTGAAAACAACTTCTGATGTCAACAATTAGAAAAATATTGCTGTCAAATGCCTTGAATATATAATAAAGTAAAAAAAAATCCTTGGAGAAAGTAACGGCCATTGCAAGAAAAGATTACGTTTATACAATATACAAAGCAATTAGATGAGTGACCCAAAAATTTTTATCTCTTTAAGAAACTCTGCAGAAGTGGGAAAATGTCAAATCTTTCGCCCTTGAAAGCTAAAAGCTAATATAATGATCAAATAAGTAGTAACCCATACCCCTACTGCTATTCAAAGCAAACGAATTTCAGTTGCAAAAAGGATAGTTTAAGCTTCTGGTAGGTAGCAAACAACTAGTAGTAAAAAACAAAAAACAGAAGTTCAAACAGATTTTGAAATCAATTAAAAAGAATAGACAATCTTCAAAATCAACATTTATTACACGATCCATATCTACCAAATTACAAGGAGAATACTAAAAAGAAAATTATATACATATATCAAAAATATTTGTCAAGAATTAACATAACATATGTAAACTTGAAATTATTTATCCGAATAAAATTGGAAACAAAGTTTGCGTATTAAAAAAAAAAAAAAGGAAATTAAAGAGCTCTCAAATCAGCACGATCTCCTAATCGAATCAAGAAAACTCCAACGGAGGCACTAAATCAGCAAACAAGAAAAAGAAGTGAGAGAACACACACATAAATATATATGTGTGTGAGAGAGAGAATCAACAAAGCTGACTTACTGGTGGGATGGTGGAAGAATCTATGAGAAATGGACTCAAAGCTCCTCTGAATAGGGAGCACAAGATCAGGTGGAACAGGCAGACCTGCCACCATGTACTTATAGATCAAAGCTTGATGTTCCAGTTCTTGCCACTGCGACACTGTAAATGGTGACCTCATTGTGATCACTCCTGTCCCCATTCCCCCAGCTGTCACCCCTCCTGCTCCACCTTCCCCACCCCCTCCTGCACCACCACTATTCATATCCTCCACCACCACCACCACCACTTCAACTAACACTGCTGCTGCTTCTCTAGTACTGGCTACTAACAATATCACTACTACTATATATAGTACTAACTACTGATCACTATATTTAGCTGGAACTAAAAAAAGAAAAAAAAGCATGGGCAGTGAGTGACAGGGATGAGGAGAAACATGGGACACAGATCAAGCTGCGTCTGAGCCATGTAGTATACGAGTGCCTATATATATATGGGTATGTGTGGGTGTGTACGTGTGTCACGGTCTGAGGGAAGTGCGGGTTGTTGTTGTGTTGGGAAAGGGGAGCAGTGTCTGTAAGGAGGGGATCTTCAAGGCCAAGTGTGGTCTGATTTTTATTGAGGATGAGAGGAGGGGGGCATCGGCCATTAACTGTAAAGTTCATCAACTAATTATTAGGAGGTGATTTTTTTTTATACTTACTGCTACTAACTAAATGCCGTTCCCTCAGATGTATTTACTGTTTAGTTGTTGGGGCCAGTCATGAAGTTACTGCAGGTTTGTTTTTTTATTCCAGGATAATGGTTTTTATCATCCATTCTCACTTTAATCGAGATTATTATCTTTTTATATAATTTTATAGATAAATAATTTAATCTGTTTTAAAATTTAAATTTTTAATTTATCCTTATATTTTTAATTCTAGCAATTATATCTTGAAAAATATTTAAATTTTCAATTTGTTTTTATAATTTTTTAACAAACATATCCCTATCTAAAATTTAAAAAAAAATCACATAAAGTAGGTTTTTTTAAATCTTTAGAATTTTATTTTTTTATATTTTAATCCAATGTATTTCATCGTCAAAACAATTGGTGGAAAAAACAAATTGATGACTTAAACGTAATTGAATAACATAATATATACAATTTGAAACGTATAAATAGATTAAAAATTTGAGTTATTATATAAAAATAAAAATAAACTATTTATTCTAATTTTAAAAACACATGCATTGTGTATTAAGAAAAAATTAGTAAATTTTTATGAATATTGTTCATAAAATTTCAACTCTAAAATTAAAAAAATGAAATAAACTTTCACGACCTGAAATTAATTTCTGGGAAATTGGAATTAAGTAGGATACAGTAGTTTTTTTTTTTTTTTTTTTTTGTAACTTTCTGTTATTGTAAGTGATTGCCAACTTGCTAGGGGGAAAAACCTGTCTGTTGTCTTGGGCAAGTGCAGACGGGTGGTGATTGTATTTTGACTATTTTTTACTTTTTCTTTTTTATTTTTGGAGAAGTAATTTCTACTACTTTCTTTTCCTGCCAGAATGTGGATTTAATGGCTTTTGGACCCACAATTAGCTCAAGTTGTTGGCGAGGCCTCCGTTGCTTTAATTTTTTTTTAAAAAAAAAAAAAACTTTTGTTTAATGCATCACCCAAGTAGATAGAAGCTTCCTCCATGGTCAATTTTAATCAGCACTAACTTTTTTTTAACGGTTTTTAAACGGTTTAGATGTCTTCCAGTCATTTCTTGTCATACAGGAAATTTTGAAGTCGTTTCCTAAGATTTTATTCCCCAACCAACCACATTCAGACTATCAAAAAACAACATAAATCATTGATTGAAACTTTATTTTAATAGCTTAAGTTATTGAAACAAAATAATTTTTTTATATGATATTAAATTTTTATTATCAAATGGTTACGAATTTAAATTTTATTAATTTTATTATCTTTTTTTTTTTTGAATTCGAAAACTTACAATCCAAAAATATTAAGTTTGTTCCATTGGTATAATCATCATATATCTATTAATTTAATAAATTTAACATTTATGGTGGTATATACTAACCAAGAATGTTAAGAAATGAAATACATTGATCTTATCTTCCTAAACTTAATATCTATGGTACTTTAAAAAATATTTAATATAATTATTTTTCATCATCATCTAAAAAATATCAATTTTGTTATATTTGTATGGTAATGGTGTGTCTATTAGTTTTTATAGCATACATATCTTCATGAATTTCTTTCATAAATTTTCTAGCTTTAATAACATTCAAGTAGTTTATAATGTGCCATCAAACTTCTTTTGTGCAATATTTTTTCATTTATATAAAAAATCATAATCATCCTTCTCAATAACTTTCAATCAATTTCTAATGTACTTATTATTGATAAATTGTTTGATATCATGGTAATAATACTTTCGACCTAATAACTATACGAACAATAGAATATATTTTTTTCTTACAATTTTCTTGTGTGCGAATCTCAAGACAATTAAATGGGAGTCAATTTCGTACTAACCATACAAACCGATGGGATTTTAGTACACCTTTTTTAGCAACATTTAAAAAAAAAAAAAATGATTGGATCATACTTCCTACTCAATACATGCATACTACATCAACTATGCGCTCTTCCTTCAAACAAGTCAAACAAAAGCCATCACTATTTGGGTTAGGGAAGTCACCTTAATACTGATTCTTGTAGTTTTATGACTATTTTAAATATCTCCTTAAATATTTATAATTTATTAGATTGGTTCCTCAAAAAATGTAATAAAATCGAGTCTATAAATGTAAATTAAGGTTCTCTACTCCTATTCGATGGTTTATCATGTGATCTATCATATATGTTTTACCTAATTTTAATTATATAAAAATATATTTTTTATATAAACAATAATAGATACAAAGTTAAAAATAATCAAAGAGCTTGTAACCCGAGTAATAGTGATCTCTTATAACAAAATGTCACGGGTTCAACTCTTAACAGATTAGTTCGATAAAAGGTTTGAGTGTGTGAGTTAAAAAAAATAAAAAGTACAAAGTTGAAAATATGAGAAGTTAATAAAAATTATACAATTAAAATGTTACACGTTCACATTTTAGACGAAGGAAATTTTTATCGATCACTAGAAAATTATTTGTTGTAGTTAATATCAATTAACGAAATGCCACTCCGAGTAGGATAATGACTAAGTATGTTTTTATATAATGAGCTTAGTGCCTAATTTGTCCTTATATCCTAAAATAAATTTAACTATGTTCTTATATTTTAAGTGAGTTTTTAATATCCTCTTTTAGTCTTTTTTTTTTTTTTTTTTTGTCAAACCATCGAAAAAAGTCACATGATTTGTACATTTTTTTTTTCGAAAATGCCCCTCAATTGAAAGTGTGCGTGTCCCCTTTACTTAGGGACATTTTTAGGGGGAAATTCATGTCAAAATCACGTGAATTTTTTCGATAGTTTAGTAGAAAAAAATACCAAAATGACAAATTGAAAACTCAATCAAAAATACAAAGACATAATTAGCTCATTTTAGAATATAAGAATAAATTAGACATCAATCCTATTATATGACGACAAACTAGACCATCTCTCTATATTTATTTTTAATTTATGATCAAACCAAATTTATACATTCTAAATAATTTTTTAATTAAAACAACTATTCATATGCCTTGCCATAAAAAAATGAAGCTCTTCTCTTTTTTAATTTTTTATATGTGAAAGAAAAATATGAAATTTTTTATAACTATTAGAAGAAGAGTCTTAAACACGTGGCTGCAACATCACCCTTATTAAGAAACTAATTATGTAGTTAGTTAGTTAAGGGTTGGTTAGCTAGTTCATTAAGTCAATAGTAAACTTTACTTTTGCTTCTTGTAACATATAAATAGATCTAGCTTCTTTTTTTCTTGTAAGCTGGTATGAGATATTCACACAAAATCTTTGTAACCATTTTCTTAATCGGAATAAGAGAACTAGACCATTTTTCTCTCTTTCATGGTATCATAGCCTAAGACAAACTAGATCTCGCTTCTTCCTCTTTTATTCTATTGTTGTTTCTCAAGCAATTTTTACTACATTAATGGCATATTTCTCTTTGATTTTTTTCACAAAAGATCCTCGATCACCTTTTTTATCTTCATCATATTGAAAATCATAAGTACTTGTGATGGATTTATTGATAGTTCGATTCTTTGCTTCAATCAAAGATGATACTTTGTTTAGATCGTGAGTCGAGATGCAATAATCTCATTATCTCTTAGCTTCTTAAGTCTATTTCACCTTCGATCACTATAACTATTTTTTACATGGATTCAACGACAGAAATATAAAAAGCACTCGAAGAAATGTTTCTTACAAGCGAGTGATTCTAAAGTTTGTAACTTACAACATGCTATGTGTGTAATTACTCGGAGAAATCATAACATTGATGAGTATTTCACTTAGCTAAATTCAATTTGGGAAGAATTGAAGAATTATAAGCCATTGCCACATTGTGAATGTAGCAAGTATGGTGCTTGAGTGTTTTAAGAAATACATTGATATGCATCAAAAGGATTATGTATTTTGATTTCTAAATGGTTTAAATGAGTCTTATATTGTACCAAGGTCTTATGTGATTATGATGAAGCCCTTCCAATCTCTTGATGAGGTTTATAATTTGGTAATTAATGAGGAATCTCAAAAGTGCATACACTATCAATTAAAGCTATTTGCGGAATATTCAACAATGACGAGTTTGATATGCATTTCAAAATAAGCCTAAGAATGCTTTTGTATGCATGCATTCTGAAAAAATAAGTCACACCAAGGATATGTGTTTTTGATTGATTAGTTTTTCAAACAATCCAAGGTTTGCCAAAGGAAAAGCTGCTTTACCTATAATTAATTATAAGTTTGCTAGAGGGAAAGCTACACCAATAGGAATCAACTATGTACTTAAGCGGACGAGATGTAGGCATAAATACAATAGCTAATCGGTATGACTTATCCTTAGATAATACTATTGCATAGACAAAAACACATGTATCATTATCTCAACATCAAATTCAGCATTTAATGGCTATTTTTAGTGAGTATAATGCATCGGGTAAGGTTTCTTCCAATCCTCTCAACAATGCAAGTATTAACTCTTCACATCATTGTTGTACATAATTTCCACAATCCTTGACACACTTTATGAATAATATATTCTAGATCATAGACACGAGAGCATCGGATCACATAACAT